TTTTCAAATCATCTCAAGGACCATATCGAATGATAATAACATAATTCATTCATTCCTAATTGCTAGAATATGTTATATTGTGAATAAGTAAACGATATTACAATCGGAACACCTTTTTAACCATACAACTACTTGATAAACTAAAGTTATCAACTTATCTAAAATAAACCTTTCCTTCTCTAAATATATTATCGTAATTAATACAACATTCAATACAAGGTACTATTAATTTAATTTTTTTCATCTTAGCTTCTGTGTAAGTTATTTTAAAATTTAAAGTTAACTTTTAGTAATTTAGAGTTCAACTCTGTTGTGTAATTATTTTACAACATAAAAATTAGTAATATTCTTACTTATCTATTATATAATATACTTAAAATAATAAGTACTGGAAAAAAAATTAATATCTTCAATGAAATGAAAATATTTAATATTAAAACCATTAATTGGATAAAAATATATACTAAATCATGATTAATAAATTATATTATATACTATTAATTTAGTTTTTTTAAGATAAAATAATAATGCATAATTAAAGATCAACAATATCTAAAAAAAATTAAGAGATTTTACTAGGTGTGGAGTTCATCCTGAAACCATTATGCATGTCTTAAGATATTGTACCTTTGCTAGGAATGTTTGGGATTACCTAATTTTTGTAAACATTGGACTTCTTTTTTTAGTTTAGACCTTTTTGATTAGTTATTTTTAAACTTATCTAATTTTGCCTTAAGCTCTTTTAAAAATTGGCAAGGTATTTTTGGATATGTTGTTTGGTATCTTTGAAAGAATAAGAATGATTTTATTTTTTCAAGCAGATCCGATAAGCCTAATAGCTTAGTCCATATGTCTTTATATGATGTTGATTATGCACTATCTTGTTGTCAACCTAATTCTAAGTCTACTCCTTACTTGTTTTCTGAAATAGGTAGTGTTAGATGGTACCCTCTCCCAGTTGGACAATTTAAGTTAAACACTGATGGAGTTGTTCTCAAGATTGGTCCTATTGTTTTTGCTTGTGGAGGTCTGATTTGTAATGATTAAGGCCAGTTAGTTGTTGAATTTTACAGCTTCTTGAAGCCTTGTTCCCCTCTTAGGAGCTCAACTGGTGGTGAAGCACAAAATTCAAACTATATGGATTGAAAGCGACTCAAAAGAGGCAGTTGGGCTTGTCCTGAATATACAACAACTTTCTCACCCCTTGTGGGATCTCATTTGTAGAATTAGAACCTTGCTAAGATCTATTATTTTTATTAGAGTTGTGCATATGTTTAGAGAGGCAAAAAGTGTGTTGACCATTTAGCCAAACTTGAGTTGGAGGATGTTTCCCCTTATTCTAAGTTTAATGATGTCCCCTCATTCCTTCTCCCTTTCTTAAGCTTGGATGTTGGTGGCACTTGATGTCTTAGGTTTGTATTCTAGTTTCTTTATTTGTTTTGGGTCTTTGACCCCGTTTGATTAGCAAAAAAAAAATAAAAAATGAAGAGTAAATTTAGGTAAACATTATAAAGTTTAATTAAGCACTTATAAAATAATTAATCCTATTATTCAACATGTGAATAAATTTTAATAATTAAAATAATTAAAATAAACTTAAAATAGATTTATTTTAATAAAATATACCAACAAATTTATTGAAATAAATTAAATAAAAAACTTAAATGAGTCATAAGCTATCTTCATAAAATTTTCAAAAATTCGTCTACACACGTTCAAATTGGATTTTATTAACAATTAAAAAATGTTAAGAAAAATTGATTATATTATTTTAATAAATGATTTTACATCTTTAAAAAAATTTAAAGATTGATTTGATATACAATTATAATTTTAGTCAAATATTTTTAGTTCTTAAAAAAAACCTAATATTAAGGTTGGCCTTAAGTCTCCATAAACATTATATTGGCCCTGGAATTACCAAAATAGAGCAAACATGTTTAGATTATGAGTTTTGCATTAAGTCAAACCATGAGTTACTTTATATTTAGTTTGAGGTAACCGGACACATGCATGATGATCAGAATTTGAATTCCATTTTTAAATATTTTCATAATCCTCTCCTTAAATTGCCAATTCCTTTCTTCCAATAACAAAAAAAATTCATAAATTATTTCGCTTTAATTATGTTTTGTAACCATATATTATCTCAATTTGGATTGCAAAATTTGTGCAGCTTGTTGTAAAATCAAAGCAAGATAAGCAATATACCGATGGTTTGGTACCCAAAAGGAAAGAAATCAGACAGATGAAAAAGAAGAATTTGCAAAACAATTATCATAAAAGTAGTAGTAGCTGAATGAAAGAGCGATAGCACTAAATATACATTAAATATGTTTCCTGAATAAAGTGACCATTAAGAAAAGAGAACTAGTATTTGTATCACTCGTTTTTATTATTTTCATCACCTATTTGATTGTGATTCCAAAATTTAATTTTTGAAAATGTTTTTAATATTTTTCAAAAAAAAATTTATAAATTAATTTATAAATTACTTTTAAAATATAATTTTTGAAATATATAAAATTACTTTTGAAAACTAAATTTTGAAAGTCATTTATAAATAATTTTCAAAATCTAATAGTCAAAAGTAATTGAGAAATGACTTTAAAATTTAATTTTAAAAGAAATAAAACGATTCTCAGAAATTAAATTTTAAAGTTTATTTAAAGATCACTTTTAAAAATTTAACTTTAAAAAAAAAATTTAACACACATCTAGAAATTAAATTTCAAAAATAAAAAACAAAATAAGTTGTGTGAATAAGAAAAGTATGTAAAATTTAATCTCCTTAACATAAATTTTAAAAAAGAACTTGATAAAATTTTATTAATCATTAATAGCAATAAAAATTCATCACTGAACACCAACTTCTAACAAATCTTCTTCGTTTACACACAAGTTTGAACCTTCCCGTGCTAAAAAATTCAGCTGTCTTTGATTTGACCACTCCCATATCTTGTAAGTTTCTGAGAACATTCCCTATTATTATATTTTACATTGCTATTATTTTCTTCTTCTAATGTGTGCTCAGTTCATCACAAAGCATGTACTTGCTAGTACAGTTATCTTACTAATCTACACATACATTTCTTCCTCAGTTCAATATTGACTTTTGAATTATGAGCAGGCCATATATACAAAACACTTCATTTTTAAATCGTTCAAATTGTCCTCATCAGAAATTTGTTCTAAATGTGTGAACGATTCCAATGATAGCGAAAGTGATTAACACGTAATCTCTTTTGTATACGAATTCCATCAAAATTTCTTTTGCAACTTACCGATAGAGATTTCTTCTGAGTTGTATGTGGGAACTTACTGTATAGAATAAGTGCAAAGTCTAGTTCGGTTTGCTTATAGATTTTTCTAAGCTGTATTTAAAGTTCTACAATAAAAATCTTTATACATTTTTTTAAATTATATAATATTACTGAATTTAATGTATTGATAATATTAAATGTTATGATTTTTTTTTTATCTTGAGTAATATAATACAGGTTATAAAAATTACTTTTAAAAATAAGTATTTCAAACATATACTAAAATGTTTAGGGTTTAGGGTGTTAATATTTTAAACATTCACAACAACCCAAGTGAAAAAATTATTCTTTTTGTCATCTTGCGTTTGTAGGGAAAAACAATAAAGTACATAATAAATTCATTTTCATTTTTCCACTAAAAGTAAATAAATAAATTTTAGCTTTATGCATCATGCAAATATTATAAAATGATTTTAGTGAAATATTTTGAATAAGATTAAATAATCATTCTAAACAATATTAAAATAATAATAAAAATATAACTATAAACAATAGTAATGCAGTTAACAAAAGAAATTCATAACCGAGTATTAGAAATGTTAGAAAAGATTAACTAAAAGTTTATTAAGAAGATAAAATGTAATTCATATATTTAAAATTAACAAGAAAATTTACAAAATATAAAAATATTCACAAATATCAAGAAAAACATTTTTAAAATTTACTATATATATATATATATATATTCCAATCATCAAATTTTAACTATTTATGTCAAATTTTGTAAAAAATCTACAATAATAAAAGCATAATAAAATGATAGCTTTCGTATATCTCAAAATTGTATATAAAATACACAATTTGGTTTTGTTAATACAAAATAATATGAATTTGAAAAAGTTAAGTTAGAAAAAATTGACAAAGTAAATAAGTAAAATATATAAAAACTTGACTCACCTTCAAATTCTTAGTTTTTGTTCATCAATAGCGTTATACTTGGAGAAAAAGGCAGAAATTTTCTTACAGAAATTTGTAAACTCACAGTCGCAGAAAGACAATTTCTATTCTGTCATACACGTTTTGATTTTGTCAAATTCTAGTTATTATATCATATATTTAATTCCTATAAAAAAGTATTCCAATTAACTGAAAAGAATTAAGAAAAGAAGGTACATAAAAAGGCACAACTTGTTTATGGAGTCGTTGACTAAAGTATAAATCATATTTGAAAGAGTCAAGAAGCAAAACCATATATATGATAAAGTCATCGTTAATTGTATTTTATAATTCCTTAACTAATTGTTTGTGTCTCAAGGAATATTTTCCCAGTAACAAAAACGAGGCAATCTCATGCCATAGATCAATTTGACTGGGTGCTACAATTTCAAGGGATTAGAGGACAAACTTAGAAAAGTCATTAAGCTTCGCATTAAATGTCACATCACATGTCCTCATATACCTTTGAATAGACATTAAGAAATTGGATTATGCTTTCTTCCTCCAATGGCGTTCTGGAAGATCAAAATCAATCCAGTTCAGTTTTCGATATTTTTTTTACTTTTTGAATATATATAGGTCCACCAAAAGGATATTTTTTATTCCTCAAAATGGACAGAAGAATTTTCCATGAAGTATATGTGCGAAATAGACAATATTATAGATAAAATAATCTTGGTCAATAGACCCTACCAAACTATATAATATATGGTTTATGTAAACAAAGGAATAACGTATCATACATAAACATTTCAGAAGGCAGAATTGACCTTCAATTAATCCCCAGTCAGTGAACCCCTTCACCTTGTCAAAATTATTGCAAATTCTCCACATCTAAGGCCATTCTTGGCGATTACAATAGTAGAACATGCACCTCTCTTGGCAAGTCAAATATCAACTGGCAGCAACTATCTTCAGCATCATCACCCTTTCCGAAGTTAGATGCTTTTACTTCAATTTCTCTACTTTCCAACCACAAGACGAAGCTAATTTGATACTGAGCCAGAATTCAAAAATATACTTAGATGCTATCCAAGTAACCCCTGATATTCGAGGGTCAATTCATAGTTATTCTGGACGTGCTTTTTACAACAAGCCATACAAACTTTGGAGCATGAAGAAGAACCAAACTGCAAACTTCAACACCACTTTTGTGCTCAACATCAACCCTCAAACTTCACCTGGTGGAGAAGGCTTGGCCTTTATCTTAACCTCAGATATCACTCTCCCAGAAAACTCTTCAGGAGAGTGGCTAGGCATTGTGAATGCTACCAACAATGGAACTTCACAAGCTAGGATCTTTGCAGTGGAGTTTGACACAAGAAAAAGTTTCCCAGAAGATGGTCCAAACAACCATGTTGGAATTAACATAAATAGCATCAACTCCATCCAACAAGTCCCATTGATAAACACTGGGATCAACATTTCATCAGGTGATAATGTAACAATTAAAATTCAGTATTCCAATGATATAATATCTGTTTTTGGTTTCATGAGCGCAACTTCAGAAGAGTCTATGAAAACCCTTTTGGTATCTCCACCTCTTAACCTCTCTTCCTATCTTCAAGAAGAGGTTTACCTTGGTTTCTCAGCCTCCACGAGTAACTACACGGAGCTGAACTGTGTAAGAGCATGGGAATTCAATGGTGATGTTATTGCAAATGGTGATAACAATCTATTGTGGGTTTATGTCACTGTTTCAATTGTGATTCTTATCATCATAGGTGGGATGGTGAGTTTGTTCTTGCTTTGGCAAAGGAAACGCAATATGGAGAAGCCAGAAGATGCATATCCAAGAATAGAGGATCAGATTCAATATTCCTCTATGGCTCCAAAGAAATTTAGGCTAAGGGAAATAAGAAAAGCAACAGGTGGATTCAACCCTCAAAACAAGCTTGGACAAGGTGGGTTTGGAACTGTGTATAAAGGGCTATTGGAAAACAAGGAGGTAGCTGTGAAGAGAGTTTCAAAAAACTCACGTCAAGGGAAGCAAGAATTTGTAGCAGAAGTAACAACAATTGGAAGCCTTCACCACAGAAATTTGGTGAAACTCACTGGTTGGTGCTATGAGAATAAAGAGCTTGTCCTTGTATATGAATTCATGCCACATGGAAGCCTAGACAAGTACCTATTTGGTGATGAAAATTTTGGTGATTTTAATATTAATAACCTTGAAAGGGGGTATCCTTCAACACTGAATTGGGAAACTAGGCACGGTGTGATTCATGGAGTGGCTCAAGCATTGGACTATCTTCACAATGGTTGTGAAAAGAGGGTGCTTCACAGAGACATCAAGGCAAGCAACATAATGTTGGACTCAGAATACAATGCAAAGTTGGGAGATTTTGGTTTGGCTCGTACCATTCAGAAGAGGAATGAAACTCACCATTCCACAAAAGAGATTGCAGGCACACCAGGGTACATGGCTCCAGAAACCTTTCTCACTGGGAGAGCAACAGTGGAGACTGATGTGTATGCGTTTGGGGTTCTTGTGTTGGAGGTTGTGTGTGGAAGGAGGCCAGGGAATCTGCATGCACAAGATGACTATAAAAACAGCATTGTGTACTGGGTTTGGGAGCTTTATGGGAAGGATAAAATAGTTGGTGCTGTGGATAAAAGGTTAACGAACGAAGTGATTAAAGAGGAAGAACTGGAGGTTGTGCTTATGCTTGGATTGGCTTGTTGCCATCCAAATCCACACAAAAGGCCATCTATGAGAAGTGTTCTTCAAGTTCTCAATGGAGAAACACCACCACCTGAGGTGCCTACGGAAAGACCTGCTTTTGTGTGGCCAGCTTTGCCCCCATCATTCAAAGAAAATGAAGATTGCTCCTTAATTCAGGGATCACTCACTCCATTTACTGATCTCACCGGCAGATGATGAAATCATTTGCATATGTGTGTATGTTTCTGTCGTTGGTTCACATAGATTTGTTGTACACAACCTTGCGCAAATTTTGTTGCATTCAATTTGTGTATGTATAGGTTATGTTGCTGCATAAACGATTGCTAGCATGTATTTGAAACACGTTTTAGGATAATTTTATGTATGATTGAAGGCTAGTTAAGTTTCAGTTTAGACTCATTAACTATAGTTGATGTATTTCTATTTTCGGCTTTTAACCAGCTTGTACTTCATGTATTTCTTGTATATATAGCACATAATATATCATTCTCAGGTCAAGAAAATAAAATCAGAAGTCTTTTGTTTCTCTCTCCAACATTTATGTTCTCTTTATTGCTTTCAAACCACTGCTCAGATACTTTATGGTATCACAGCCCATCACTTTCAATTTCCTTACTTGGGAACAACAAGAAATAGGAATGATTAAAGTGCTACAAGCTTCAAAAATACATATCAGAAGAAAGTATCACACCGAAGAGGATGGTTGACCAGAAACAATCAGGGAAGAATATCGCAACCAGGAACAGCAAGATCAATTGATCTTGAAATGTGAAATAAGGAGTAGTATAGATAGGGATGACAACCCAATGTGAGGGATCCAATGAGTTAAAATTATTTTGTGTAAGTGTAGTTAGTTTCAAAGACTGTAGGTACAAAGGAAAAACAAAAATTATCAATAACTAATTTCTAATAAACTTAATATAACTTGAAGTAATTTTATATAACTTTGAAATTATATGCTTATTTTATTTTATTTTTTTTTAGTTCATAAAAGAGTTTTACTAACTTATTAACAAAAAAGAAAAGCTACAAACTCTTAAAAAGTTATAAGGTTGTGTTATCAAACATATTAAATACTACTAACAATTTTTTTTTCAGCATCTTTTGACTTGTTAATATTTTAAAAGGTAAAAATATTTATCTCGCGAATATCACTTTTTAAAAGTTAGTATATTTATTTTTTAAATAACCAATCACAAATTATGTGTTAAAAATGTGTTAGTTTTTTTCAGGTGAAGAAGAAAAAATGTATTATTATTTATTTATTTATTTATTGTCAACGAAAACAAAATGTGTTATTAAAGGTGCTCTTTTTTATTATTATTATTTTCCGAGACAAAAACGATCCAGATCCCGTTTATTCTCGCCGGGCAACGGTTAAGGACCAACCAAGAGGCCCAAAATATAGTTGGGGCTTTTGGGCCTAAAAATGAAAAAAAAGGGGTAATATTGAGAATTTCAAGAGCACGCGTTCCTTTTCCCTCCCAACCCTAATCCCTTCCCTTTAAATGGTTTCAGTGATCCCCCGTCATCTCCATCATTCGAAGTATCAAAAACATTGTTGTTCGGTTTCGGTTTCTGCTCGGTCCTTTTAGCATCGTGTTTGTTTTCATTCAATTTCAAATGTTCTTATTCAGGTTGAAAACCACATGATGAATTTGGATTTACAATTTCTCACGACGGTCGTCTGAGATCCACTTGATGCAATGATCCTCTGTTTCTGATGGTTTTCATTTCTATTTCTTCTTTGTTCGTTGCTAAAATGAATCGATATCTCCACTTCCTTTTGGTGATGGATTTTTTTATGATTTCTTTTATTGCAAAATCGGGTCTGCGTATTTTCAAATTTCTAGCAATTATTTCTTTTATTAATTTTACGACCGTTTAACCTCTTATTATTATTATTATTTAAAAAAAAAAGCTTAACAGTGCCATTAGTTGGATTGGAATTTTGAAAATGTACTTAAATTATTTTTTCTTGAAAACTTAACATCTAAAAAAACTTTACAATGCCATTAGTTGGATTGTGTATACAATCAATGGGAAATTTTGTAATTTGGCTTACCTAGTCCACTGCCTATGTAATCCATAATTAACTAATTCCCTAAATTGTTTTCTTGGCTCTCTATCTATAGCATAAAAAACCCATAATTTTATTAAGTATCAACTATTCATTGAGTAAAAATGTAATTACTAAAAGTATTTTAAAAATAAAAAATGTTTTAAAATTTATTCAGAAATTTAATCAACTAACCATTCATAGGAATTTTAATTCAAGTTCCATTTTTGTAAAAGGTAATAATAAAATACACGGCTTTTTAGTTAATCTTCAGATTGTAAATGGCAGTGTTCTTCTCATCATCGTCATTGCATCAAGAGGTTGATGGAGCAAATTGGTAACAGAGGAAAATGACTTTTTTAACTTTTAAATTGTATACAGCCTAAAATATTTATATAAACTCTTAATCACTCTTCCAAAAAGAATTTCATTTTTCATGACAATTTACAACCAATAATTCTTTTTCAATCTGGTTCAGATAAGAGAGGCTGCTGGTAATCAGGAATTGCAACATCGGTGAATTCAATCAGGTAATGTTTGGATCTTTGGTGTTGTGCCAGTGCTTCTGATTTTAAAATCAATTGGCTGGATTTCAGAATCCAATGCCAAAGACCTGTAGTGGGAAGTTCTTGCAGGGTCTAGGGCCTCTCTAGACTAAATGACGCAGATGCACTTACAATCTCCCGATATCCAGTTTACTGTAACCAGCAAAATGTTTCAAAAAATAAAGATTATGGATGTAGTTATCAGTGATGGTAAAGGAAAGTTGATAAGGAAAAATAATGGAAATTTGGTTATGCCTTCAGGGGTAATGACAAAAAGACAATTAATAATATGTTTATACTCATTGAAATGCCCAAAATGCAGAAGGTAGATCATTGTTATTTCTTCCGTTTAATGATACATGCAGGAGTGGACTCACCAACTTGTCATGGCTCATGATTGCATATGATGATCCAGTGTAAAGGCATGAATATCAGAAGGACTAGTACCAGGCCTAACAACAACCATCACCTTAAAATCAAACATTTAAGCAATAATAGATCAAGGTAGCTACTTAGTAGAAATATTTAAGCACAAACACAAGCGACCAAAAAAGCATACAAGGATTAGCTAATGTTTTCTGTCACAATTAATTTATAACATTTATCTCAGAACAAAATGAAATTGAGTCATGAGCCACCAACTTAAAAGCATGGACTTTTGGGAAATATTATAAAGATAGTAATACCTTTTGTTGATGGTACCGTAATGGAATTTGGGCTTTCCTCCTGCCTTCACATCCTCAACATACTGTAGCCATGAGAAAACACCACCTGATACATTATGAGTAGGCAAAAATAAAAGACCCAAAAGCATAGAAAATGTTCTTATATCTGAACCATACCAAACTTAAAGTAACCACCATCGACGAGAAAGATAGAGAACTGAAGGGTATTTCATTGAGTGAAAAAAGCTGGCATTCTGATGATTCTGGACCAGGTGAAAAATGGGGCTTCTTCAGCCTTGCCAAGAAGATTATATAAGTCTGCCTCAAACATTTCATAACCATGACCAAAAATCTCTAGCTAGATAAAAGATCATCAAAAAAGAGGAAAAAAAAAAAAGAAAAATAAATAAATGATTGTTGCTTACTTGGCCAATCAAAGGAATATCCAATTGAGCAAAGGGTGAAATCACTTCCACATCAGCATTGGCTTCCTCCCTTGTTTCCCTGATAGCACCTTCCATAGCAGACTCTCCAATTTCCAAATAACCAGCAGGAAGTGTCCTTGTTGACAACAAAATATGAAAATAACAAAGCTCACCGATGATAAGAGAAGCAATCTTCATCACAACGCAAAATTTATTGGCACTTCAGTTTTATATCGAAGATTTCAGAGAAATGAATGTGATATGAATTGGATCAGACCACACACAAAATGTGTATGTACTGTAGTATTTCACAATAACCACAGATATCAGTGTGATTTAAGTGGTGATATAGATGGATTTACAGTTACAACTTACAAGACTCAACTGGAGGAAAAAGAAACACTAACACACGGAATTTAAGAGGCCCTGATCTGTGCTAACCACTCCTCAGTCACTATTTCCTTATACAATAGAATTTTCCTCCAATTTCACCAATGGCCTCGCTAGCAGTTAGTTACCCCCAGTCATGCCAATTCCCTTGCGCACTCGGGGCTCTATTTTAATTCCCTATAATTTCTCCTCACATACACCCTCACAATAGGTTTCCAAACAGAATGCACCCCAAATCAATGAAAACATGCAGTGCAATAAGAAGATTAATCATACCATAGGCCATAAGACGGTTCAATCTTCCGCTTGCAAAGGAGGACCTTGCTATCATGCTCAATGAGGCAACCAACTACCTACTTTGCCATTCAAACTCATGTCATGTTCAGTAGAAAGTAGCAGGTGCTATGACAAATAGTATACAACTCTTACATTAAATTTACAAAATAAAGTCACAGCATTGTTCTCATAAAAATATAATCATCAAAATCCTGAACTGATTTTGCATTTGCACTTAGTTTTGCAAAAATATAATTACTTCAGAGAGTGAGATTGATTTATAGCATATCACTTTAAAACAATTAACATATGGATAACCCATTAATTTTTATCCATATCAGCTTCAAAATCAAATCCCTGCATTACATAATAAATAAAATCCTAAAGCTGTTAATTTACTAATCTCTTTCCTCAGATCAATGAATATGAGCAAAGTCAAGGTCAAACCACCTTCTTTTTCTCAATGTCTTCGTGAAATACGCCTTAAAGTTCCAGCAAAAGCCATTATATTTAAAATAACAAATGATAGACCCATGACCCAAGTATATGTTACTAACTGTCAAAACACTTCAATCTAACGGATCATACTAAATAGATCTTCAGTGTTCATAAAGTTGTACTAAACCATCGCTTACATTACAACTAAAACAATAGCATTCAAACCCTTCTTTTGAAAACTTTCAACACTAATAATTACTCTTATAAAATAAGAGAAATTGATGTGAGGAAATAAAAAGGATTTCTAATGCACATCCTAGTTTAAAACTCAAAAGTAATCTTGGTACTGATTTTCGGATAAAATGGGGCTGGCATTCTTATGCTAATTTAAAACTGTGTAATAGGCTTCTTGCACAGCTGCCATCATGCTCATCGCACACAGATCTTACATTTCACTCAGTGACAATATTTTGTAAATTATTCACACATTCAAGAATATTGCCAATAAGCATAAAAAAATAATTCTCATTTCTAATTAAGCATTAAGTTGAATTAAGTAGAAGCTGCCTTGATTTTTTGGGAATTTACCATTTTTGGATTCTGATAGGAAATCTTCCCACAACTTGTACATACAGCTCTCAACCTTTCTTCTCCTTCAGGTATTTCAGGCTTCGTTGGACCACCACACCACTGACAGAACATAATGTTTTGAACATATCCCTACAGTGTAATGGAACTCAACAACATAACCAATAGCTATAAAGTAGAGTTACTTATCTATCCACCCTAACTGGTAACAACTAAACACCAATCACAATCAAAAAGATCTCAAATCCTACATAGTCATCAAACCTAATTGTACATGTAAGTGAAAAATTAGAAGCAGACGATTCTAGAGTATTGAAGGTTGAACACACAAAAACATATGAGGATAGATTTTTTATAGTTTGAAACCCAGGACTTGTTATGACTAAAACAATCGACAGGGATATCCATTGTTGTAATTCAATAACTCAATTAATTTAAGAGTCTATCTTAAAAAAAGAAAAAAGAAAAAAGAAATGTAACAGTTAAAGTAACTTAAATGGGTCTGGTTTTGGTGTGTAGAAAGGGTATTTTGAGCTGATAGCTAATCTCTTTTGAGGCATAGAGATCAATTAAGTGGTAGAATTTTATCTCTCCCAGTATAGTAGTTTACATGTATACGCCAGGAATCAAACACTATTAATTGTGTTGGATTTTGATTGTGTTTGGTTTCACATTTAAATGATCATAGATCCACATTTATTTTAACGCTATTAGTTGTAACTTTTGCAATGGATTTTAACTGACAGATTTTTCAATGTATTTTCAAAAACACACTTTGTTGACAACTTACATTAACTTTTGGTTTCTATAATAATAAATGCGAGATCACAAGCCTTTTATTTTGTCCTTTGACTCCTTTCTCTTGCCTAAAAGTTGCGCTTTGAAATGGAACATGTGGAAGAGCTTATCATATTTGAGTTTATAAAAGTAGCTTATAACTCTTGCAAACTCTGACTTATTTTAACGAGTTTCTTACTCTAATTTATTAAAATAAACTATTTTAAACTTATTTAACTAGTTTCATTGTCAAATTTATAACATAAGCTCTCTAGTGATACGAACTCATTGAATAAGCATTTAATTAAACTATTTATTCAAAAGCACCCACCGTCAAATTCAATTCTTATATGATTATATAGTGAAGACTAGTTGTTCTTGTTTCTCATATACCCTCCTAACATAATTCTAATATATTCGAATAAGAAAAGGAGAAAGGAAAAACTTACATAAGAATGAAGTGATGATGCGGGAGAGTGGGAAGAAGAATCCATGGTGAGTACCTGAGGAGAAGAAGCCTTTGTGGGTACGAGCTTTCCGAAGCTGAGGAACAAACGCAGATGAACAACGCAGGTTCTCAACACCTTTCAGCATTCTTAATTTTCGTTTTGTAAATAATTAGGACCACATTGATTGCTGAGAGGTAACAGAAAATGACATTTGAGCAACAGTAATGATAGCAGCGACATCTTCAATTTTTTTTTTTTTAATTTTAAGAAAGTAATTGGTAAAATTTCCTTATAGTCAATGCCCTTTCAATAATTATTAACTTTAAGTTTAAATATGTGTTTATTCTTATATTTAAAAAATAAATAAATAATTTCTTCAAAATGTTAATCTCAGTTTTTTAAATTGAGAATAAGTAATAAAAAGAGATGCTTTTTATTAAAAAAATCCATTCTTTAAAAATAAAAAGTGCAATAAATATTATGTTTTTAATAGAAAAAATTGTTTATATACTTAAACTCTGCTTATTAACAAAATAGTTAATTCTTTTTCTACGGTGCAATGCAACAAACAGCATATACACAAAAATTTATTCAAGCAGTATATATTTAGTTTTTTTTTAATGAAATTAAGTTTAAATTTTGTATATACACAAGAATCTTATTATATTATAATTGTTTCTTATTCAAATAAAATTATTTCTCATAAAAATATTTAAATTTTTAAAATAAAAAAAGAGCTCGAACAAAAACAAAAGCTTATTATATTCCCTTGTGTTTAATAAGAGGGATATGAATTAAGAAAATTATATGAATTTTGTATAACACAAATATTGGCAACTAATAACATTATTTTTAACATTCTAGTTATAATTATGAAAAATTATTTTAACTTGTTTTGCCATAAGATTCATAAACATAACTGCATTTTATGAGAAAGAACATTGATATTCTTAAAGAGCTTTATTATATTTTAATATTTTTTAGTTTTTAAAAATAAACATGAAATTTTAAAAAGTTATATGAAAATGAATATATTTATTCTGGGAATAAGCTTAACTAACTTATTTTGCTTATTAACTCTTTATAGTGATCAAATTTAATTAATTCAATTATTAAATTATATAATATTATTTTTATTATAATGTACATCAAACTTTAGATAAATTTAAGTATTCAGAAGAATGTAATCTTATTATCAACATTTGTTTATATTATAAAAGTATATTATATCTTAAAATAAAATTATTTGATAAAATATTAAATGAAATTTGTAAAGCTTAATTTAATTATTAAGAACTCTTAAATTAATAATCGAAATAATAAATTTAATGTCTATAAGAAAGTTATTAAGTAAAATAAGTTTAACATAAGTTGAATTTCTACAAAATTTAGATATTTATTGCATTAAAAATATTAAATATATTATATTTTTTATTTAATAATTAAAAATTATAGAAATAAAAGGTAAAACAATTAATTTCTAAATAATTCAACCGTGTGTTGGCTTGTTATAAGCCACAATTGACTTTCTCTTCAACCTGTTAACTTCTTAGATGAGGTGGGTTTCTCTCAACAATAAATAATTTGCCTTTGAGTGCTGGGGGGAATGCCAAAGGAGGAAAGGACAAAGCTGCACATCAAATCAACTAGAAAACTATTGACCAACTAAAACGTATATATTTTGCATAATAATTAAAAAACTCTTAATAATTATACAAAATCATATTTTAACTTAAAAATTATAATCTATTATCTTTCTATGTTATATTAATTGTCACTTGAGCACTTTTTATTTTTTTGTCAAATTATTTATCATTTTAAAATATAAAAATATTATTAAAGACAGGTTTTACCAACTAAAAACTAAAATAACTTACGATTGGTCATCACCTAATAAGGATATTTCAGTGAATTTTTTTTTACCATAATAATTGGTCAAACTAATTATTATTTTTTAAATATGTACACTAGTGTTAAACGATAACTGATATGAAACAGAGAAAGTAACATTAAATTGAAGGAAAATGTTCTTTTACACCAAAACCAATTTATGAAAATTGTACAAAAGAATGATTGGTTAAAAACATGAAGGTGCAGTATCAGTTACAGCAAAACATCATTTTACATGAACCCCGCCACGAGTTATATATTTTTACTTTTTGTGCTTTGTACCGTGACAATATTTTCATACAAAATAGCACCCCTGTAAAATGAATTTACTTTTGAATAAACATTATAGCTCGGGTCAATTGGTACACGAGTTATTAAGGACATCTAATGAAAGCAATTTTTTCGAGGATTATGGTTCCTACCTACTCCATTATAGAGGAAGAAGAAAGAGAACAACAGCTTTAAATAACAATTTTGCATCTCAAAAAAACAGATAAATTGTTGACAACAATTTTTAAAATAAACAGACCAAATATGGTGTTCATAGATAGGATGGGAGGAAAAGATATCACTTAACTCCTTCAGTAAGCACGTAAATAAGTTAAGGATGGTAATATGATGTAATGATACTCTTGTAATGTGAAGCACCATATCCATACATATTATTTCCACAAGTGTATGATAAAATTACTACTAATGAAAATATAATGAAAGCGATGAATAAATTAGCTGGGGTAAATAATTGCTAAGAGGCAGAGACTTGTATAAAAGGTATTAGTAAAACCGTTTCTTCAGTGTGTACACAAGTGTACATCATAAGAAAACAATAAATAGTAACATTTAATGTTATTAATGCATTAGATCTTATGATTTTTAATAAAAACTTATATATATATATATATATATATATATATATATGTTTTCATTTTATACTATTGAACACATTCGAAACACCATCCCTAAAAAAGTCCATACTCCCTAATCCATGGCCAGCTTATCACACAATGACTGATAAGCTGCACTGAGGTGCTTGAACTTTTCCTCTGCTATTACCTATCAATATGCATAACAATTAAAATTATTATTAGTAAGCTTTATATGTATGATAAAGAATCCTCAGTAAGGAAAAGAACAATAAAGGAGAGAGAGAACTAATCAGTGTGTAGAGGTTGGCTTTACCTTGGAAGAGCCTTGATGACGATCTGGATGCCACTTTAAGGCACATGTCCGATACCTGATTTTATAAAATTGCATAAAATCATATTGAAGAGAGACCAGCAACACTAGCTTTCAAAGTTCCTAGTATTTTGGTAAAGAGGAAGTGCAAAAGAACTCACGCATTTTTCACATCTTCAAGCTTCAGAGGACCAGAAGCAGTCAATCCAAGGGCTAATCTATCTGAAACTAAATCTGAGTATGAACTACCAGACTCAGACTCAGTTGACTTGCCATAATCATTTTCACTCTGACGTCTCCAACTCCAAGATTTCCCATAACTAGAAAAGCCTCCTGACCTCCTCCACTGAGGATTTTCCTCATTTATAAAGGACCAATAGAAATACCGATTGCCACCAAAGGCCAAGCGGAAAATGGTTTCAACATCAGAATCATCATTGCAAAACTCATGATCGCCTGAAAGATAACATGTTTTCTTGAAATATAGAAAACTAGAACAAGCCATATACATATAGATAGATAGATAGATAGATCTGAAATATTCTCTGCACTAAAAGTAATAAACACAATGTAACTTATTTAAGAAAGCTTATGATGCAAGTTAAAACCAAAACTGGTACACGATTTCTCCTTCCCCTGATCCTTTTATAAGTCACCTTCTAGAAGGTTTTAGTAGTCCTTTTTATTAGACACTTTATAATTTCTATGAAGCATTTTAACAGTGGATTTAGATATAATGATATTAAATGAAGATAAAATTGTCATGCTATAATAATTTTAAAAACTCGAGAATCAACTAATTTTAACTACCTTTATTGGTTTGTATAAGTTAGTTAAAAGTACCTTATAAAAAGCATCAAAAGGAGACTAGTTGTTAAATCCAACAATCCTCAAGCGGACATGAAAGTTTTCCAGACAAGATGCAGTTAGAGGATTTCCCAGAAATACCATCAAACAAAGTCTAATCAAGGGAGCCAGTACTGCACTTACTTCTTGACCGATGCTTTGATCTTTGATTGCCATTCCTGTACCTTTCAAAGCCCTTCGGAGAATATTGTTTTGTATATCATTGGGTGCCTCGACTTGAAGATGGATCATTCTCATTAATACCTTCTTTCAAGCTCTAAGCCATGTAAAGAAAAAGGAAAGCATAAGCATTTTAGATGCAACGTCTCAAGGGAAACAAAATCAGGGAAGAAAAAAAGCACGCAACAGAATCATCTAGAACCACGACCAAAAGAGTTCATAACATGAAAAAAAATAATCAATGATACTGAGGAGTCCTCAATATCACATCAGTCTTTACTCGGGAGAAGCACAACAATGAAAATTTTTATGTTAATTACCAATACCAACACTAGTAAGGCCGTAAGGGTTCCACAACAAACATAGTGAACAAAGATCAAACTGAGCATTAAGAACTTTCCCCAGTAAAAGAATACAAAAGGTCACAGTCCAGATTCTAATAATGCAAAAGCTGTTACACTGGCAGAATCTAGTCTCCCAGAAATTCTGTTCACTATGGAAAAAAAGTCATTGCAGAAGTATAACATCAAACAAAAAAAGCATGGATAAAAACTTGAGGAAGTGAAAAGGTATTCATTCTTATTTGCTAGAGTGTGGTGATAATCCAAGTTTTACAAAGGCTAATAGTATTTTCACATAAGAACAATAAAATATCAACAGAAAATTGCAAACTAAAGAAATAAAAAGCTCGAAACAAATTTTAGATAACCAAATGAAAAATTGGCAGAATATTACAAGTTCAAAATCCTCAGTCATTGTTTAAGACCCTTGATTGACTTCTCCAGCCCCAAAAACACCCACTTTTCCTCTGCTACCAAACAGATAATATTATGACAATTGATACTGTTCCCTCCCACAACAATTTCTCACAACACTCTTTTTCCTCTCTAGTTCTCTCGATCACATCATCCATTTTGTGCCACACTTCTCTCTCCTCTCCCGGGATGTAAGTATTATTATGAGAAACATACATAGAAATAGCATTACTCTATGAACTGAAGGCTTATGAGTAAAATTTCTCAACAATCTTAG